TGATGTATTCCCTTCATACAGCTTGGCAGATGCTCGGCCCTCGGATAGCGGCAGGAATGGGAGCAAGGAGCCTCACAAAAGAAGCGGCTTCATTGCTCCAGCGGCCGTCGAGCTCGAGAGCAGGGACAACGAGCTTCCCTTTTTTTATCCTTTTTGTAACGCACCGAGTTTGCACCTGGCAGAGCGGCGGAGCTCGGGGCATGTGCACTCCACAGCTTTGCGAGCTTCTACCAAGGCTGCACCCGTCATGCGGCCGCCAGCTCCGCGGCGGCCCTGCAGACACCAGGATTGAAACCAGGGTGGTGTTCACTGCGACCGAGCGCCACTTCTAGGCGGCGCTCGTCCTGACTGGCAGCATCAACATTCAAGGTGAAGGTCACGGGACAGCATTGCAGGTCGCCGAGCGCGCCAAAGCCCAGACCTACCCCGAACTCGTGCATGGCAACCCATGCCGCTTGATTTCCGGCATTGAAGTTAGGCGGAGGTGGTCCCGCAGGCCGCTGAGTTCGTCAGACTGCTCGCCCGATCCGGGGCTCTTGCGGCTCCCGCTGATGCTTCGTGCACCGGGACTGCTTTGACTCCGGTGAAACAATTGCCACACGGGCAGCAGTCACATCTGCGCTCGCCATGCGGTGGTCATCGCTGCTTGCCTTCGCTGCTGCCCGATCCTCTGCATGCGGTCAGCCTCGCCCGCCTTCGCGCAGGTCAACGGATGTGCGGGTCCGCGCAAGTGGTTCTTAAGTCCTACCAAATGGTGTGCAGCTGCACACCTAGCGCTGACTTGCCAAACGTTTCGTGCACCCAAGGTTTTTCTTCATTCGGCTTTTTGCTCCAAACACGGCAGTGTCAGCTGACCCGAGGAAGGGCCAAGGAGACAGCCAGGAGAGATCGGGGAGCGTGGAATGATTTGTTGTTGCCGCGGTTCCGCTTGCGGGTGTACCGGCAGAAAGTCTGACTTCTTTCGGGTGGGCTTCACAGCCGCATGCCTGATGCAGTCTCCACTTGTTTCGGGACCTACGCGGGCCGCCGTGTGCGTACGCCCGCGAAGCCGGGGCACTAGCTGGTTGTTTCCGATGTCCTTTACACTGATGTACCTTTGACCGCGCCGCGTTGTGCGCAGCCGAATGCCGATTGTGTAGCCGGCACTTCCCTCCATGGGACATACCGCGAAGCGCAAGATGCTCCGCACCAGGAGTTGGCGGCTGCACGCCGATGCATGCCGAGGCACATCAGTTGTCATTGGCATTGAAGGGTGGGGTTCCTCGCAGTTTGCACGGGAAGCTTCAGCGAAGCTGCGACCAGAGGTACAGCATGCCTCCATCATCTCCATCCAATGGTGGACGGCCATGTTGGTTGTCGCAGCCCAATTCGCGCTGACCCCCCGCACCGTTCATTTAGGAATTGCAGGTTGCAGGGGCGGTGTGATAGACATCATTCATTCCACCCTGTCTTCCCCGACCAGAACCATGAAGACTGAGACAGCCTGGCGTTCGGTGACACGCGCGCAGCTGTCTTGTAGCAGGTTACCTGCAGCCTCCGCTGAGGAAGTGCAGACGGAATAAGTGTTGAGAAAATTAGATGTGGACAGATGATCAAGATTTTTCAGCTTGCAAGCACATTTGCCATGCAACCTCATGTCTTTACGGGACGGTAGCTCGACTGGGACGGGCATATGCACAGAGGCAAAAGCAAGGGCAAGGGCAAAGCCGGCATCTTTAGGTCCGTCGGCGGCAACTTGATTTTGCCCTCCGATAAGCAGCCTTTTGGCGACTTCAATTCGTGAGTGTGGCACTGAGATACGCCGAGGTGGTGGCTCGGCGCGGCAGCGGTCTTCCCCGAAGGCGGCAGTCGTGCCGAGAAGAGAGGCAGGGGAGCCGTGGTGTAGCCGAGGTGGATCCACCGTTGCCAGAACCTAGGAAGCGATCACATCTGCAGCGACAGGAAGGAACCTTGAGGCCGGCTTTTGAAGGCGGATGTGACATGCGTGGCAACCTCAAGCGACGAGCCGAAACATGCTTTCCATGGGAGCGCGTGGCATTACAGCTGCGCATTGCGTAACAGTGACAATGCACTCGCACGCTTAACTTCGGTATCTATGTACGCCTGTGTGTGTGTGTGTATATGTAGATACATATATATATATATATATATACATATATATATATATATCATATATATATATATCATATATATATATATACAGATATATAGTGGGGATTGTTGAAACCACATTTCTGCATTTTGAAGGCAGCCTTTTTCCTCTGCCATTGCCGACGCTGTGCCTCGAGATGTTTCACGGGCAGCCATGTCGAGGCAAAGTCCCCCCCAGGAAAACTTGACAGGAAAGGAGAAAGGGCGGCAGAGCGAATGGATTCCAGGAGACTGAAACCTCCCACTTCGGTAAACTCCTTTTGAAATACAGCACTGTAGCAATACAGGAAGCTTCAAGAGAATCCTGAATTTGAACAACCTCGTTTGGCAGCTCAACACTTCTAACACCTTGCACGTGGCGGACGCCTTCAGTCAAGAATCCGGTACAGCTGCATTCCGCGGCAGATTGGCTTTATTACCGGTCTCAGGTCTTTGGCAAATCCGGTGATCGCTGACACGCACCCAGCATGACAAGATCACCCTACCATCGCGCATCTTCTGTAAGAGATTCGCCAGACACTGACCACTCGTCCAGGCCCCAACTGGAACGTCTGTTGCCTGCCGCGGCTGGTGCGCGACTCTGCTGAGCGAATTAGAAGTGGGAACGTGTGCCGCAGTGCTACAACCACAGGGCTCAAGAGCCTGGAAGTAGCCATCACTACATGCAACTTCAATCTGGACATCCTCGAAAGATTTGCCAGTGGCTGGTCCTTGCACCTTGTCAGCTGCTTGTTGGGCAGCTTTGCGGCAGGTTTGCAATGTATAAGTGCTTCATCACCCCAACTGCTCCCAAGTTATCTCAAGAGCCTACCACCTGGCAAAGGACTCTCACCTTGATTCAGACCTCCAAGCATGTTGAGGTAATGGGCTGCAACTTTCGGACCACGCAGCCCGTGGGCTACAACCTTCGGGCTGACAAACGAGGCTGCCGCATGAATACATCAAGAGGCAGGCGCTGTACACAAGATTGCCTTGACGTAGCAATCACACGTCAAAGTGGCCAGAAAAATTGCGAGTTCAGGGAAAACTGACCGTGAGAGGATCCTGCCAGGACACAAGCGGTTGAAAAAGCCAAAGCGCATTTGTTACGCTCAATACCTTCCAGGGTCAACAAACTGCCGAAGCTGAAGGACTTAAGCCATCCACTGGCTTCCGCCCTTCATCCCCAGCTCTATTTGGGGTACATCTTCGCGCGCTGTCTTTTCCAGCACACCAATCGAAAATCTGAAGACGTACCAAATGACCCTGGTCGGAGGTGTTAAAGAATGTCGACATCCTGCACTGGATCTCAGTTTTTTTGCACTGAGCTCTCAGTTGGATGCCTTCGGCTCAGCCTTGTCCATGCCTCGGACAGGACCGGGGAATGACGCATGAAGTATTACTAGCACTGACTACCAGTAGTGGTAGTAGTGGTTCTAGTAGTAGTAGTAGTAGTAGTAGTAGTAGTAGTAGTAGTAGTAGTAGTAGTAGTAGTAGTAGTAGTAGTAGTAGTAGTAGTAGTAATAGTAGTACCATACACGCTCGTAGGAGGACTGATGTTTTCATGCGTTTCGGAGCCAGTTTGCACGACAGGAGCGGGGTTTTGGGGGGTGGGGAGTCGGGGGGGTAGGACAATAACGTTCATGTCACTGCCTTTGGCGATCATGCCCAAAACACTGGTATTAACCGCATGCTTGCTATTTGTACAACATACTGCGCAAGGATGTGGAGCAAAACAAGCTCCACACACGCATCTATGCTTTTGGCGAGCATGCCCAAAACACTGTTATTTACAGCGCTTTTGTCTCCTTGTACAGCATACTGTGCAGGTAGTGCTTTCCTTTTGCGTAAAATGCCCGCAGCACAAGAAACATACCAAACCTTCAAAAACTACTTCGTGATTTCTGACACACGCAGCTGCCTATTCCGCGTTTCTGTTGGCCCTGCCAGTACTTTCGGCACTTCATGGCCTAAACGCACCGCTTTTTGCACATTCAACCTTGCGTGGAAGCCGAAAACGCCGTAATGGTGCTCAAACCTGAAGATTCTGTTCTGCTTGAAACGCATAGTCGTCGTAGTAGTAGTAGTAGCAGTAGTAGTAGTAGTAGTAGTAGTAGTAGTAGCAGCAGTAGTAGTAGTAGTAGCAGTAGCAGTAGCAGTAGCAGTAGCAGTAGCAGTAGCAGTAGCAGTAGCAGTAGCAGTAGCAGTAGCAGTGGCAGTGGGAGTAGGAGTAGGAGTAGAGTAGGAGTAGGAGTAGTAGGAGTAGTAGTAGTAAGTAGTAGTAGTAGTAGTAGTAGTAGTAGAGTAGAAGTAGAAGTAGAAGTAGAAGTAGAAGTAGAAGTAGAAGTAGAAGTAGAAGTAGAAGTAGAAGTAAAAGTAAAAGTAGAAGTAGTAGTAGCAGCAGTAGCACTAGTAGCATTTGTAGGCTATCCTATCATTTTCAGTTGTTGTGTCCGTTGTTGCTGCTGCTTGCCGTGCTTGTTAATGAAATCCCAGGTATCCTCGGTGTTGCGCCAGGATACCTGGGAGCCGCTTGCGAGGTGCACGGAGCTTTTTCGACGGCATCGGGAAGTCCAGACGGAGGCCGGTTCCTGCAGAAAGGCGCATGTTGCTATAGTGTCGTGCCACCGGCATCATGCGCGGCCTATGGGGAAGGGAACGTGTCAAGTCTCCCTGTAGCTCTTCACACACAAGAAGGCTTTCTTGAAGTTTCTTTCTGGACAACCTTGTTAGACTTAGGATTCCGCACCGGGATTCCCGTGCCTTCAGCAAAAATGGCCGGCTTGAACTCGTCCGGAACGCTTCCGTGCATGATAGGGCTGTCCCTGGAGAGCAGGTGAGCTACCCACCTCTAGTCCCTCTGCAGCCTATCAAAAGATTGATCTTTCTGACGCCCCGGATTGCCTGTAACGATCGATGTGTGCCTGCTGCCCTTGGTGTGGTCCGCTCCAGCTCACCGAACACACCTGGCCGGCTTGCTTGCAGATGTGAGCGGGGTGCAGAGGCTGCACTTCTGCCTTCGCGCTGGGCAAGACCCACTTCGTGTAGCCGTCGAAGATCTGCCAAAACAGCTGAACCTGATTGCAGACTTTGAGCTTAAAGTACCGGAAGTCGTCTCCCCCTCTTTCGAGTGCCTGCGGCTCATCCACGAGGTTTACGAAGGCATAGCCGAGGTTGGCCTTCGAGCGGAAGTCCTCGGTCTTCAATGCTTTACCCTACACAAAAAGAGGATCAAAGAGGTGCTGCCAGGCAGCGATGGGCAAATAGATGAAATCGTAGCAACCCTTGAAGCCTTCCTTGTCCATCATCGTGCAAACCTCTGCTACTTTGTACAGCTCTCGACGCAGCCTGGATTCCACAACACGACCGGATCTAGATAGGCCGCAGGCCATGTTCCGGGTATAATTGTTGGGCAAGTTCCGCAGCATCACGGTCGTGCGCTGCGTGCGCGGCCCTGGCGCGGGCAGTGCGGGCAGCAGCTGCACCGGCCGTGGCGCGGGGACCTGAAAGGACATGGCTCTCACTCTTCGCAGAGCAGCACGACATGCCAGGACCATGAAACTACGAGGCGACTGCCATCAAAATCTGCAAATAACATGCGATAGAGCTGCTTTATTGTCGTCCTGCCTTTCTTAAGCTAAATATCCGCAATGGACTCACCGGTATGCAGCCAGTGATGTCCATAGGAGACACACTGCATCTTTGGCGACAGCTTGCGTTGCATCTGCCTGCCCTGGACCACTGGATGCAACGATGAGGTTGGATGGGAAGCGCTCCAGGTGAAGCACGACCCCATGGCACCACCACATTGCCGAGTCACAGAGGTCGAGAGGTGGTTCAGCAAATGGTCCAGCGACTGCCTCCGCGTTCCAGTCTGAAAAATCAAGCTGCTTACTCCTGCCTACGAATCAGGAAGTTCGACCACAGCAGGAGCACCTTGAGATTCCTGCAGCGTCCAGAGCTGCCGCTGCCGCTGTCATGGCCTGCCGACGAAGCGGTAAGGCCATGCCGCGCCCGTGAGACTTGCAAGGCACCGGCCTTTTCGGTCGCCTCATCCACATCCTCCACCGAGGGCGCTGGCCCCAGGGAGAGGGAGGGCCTGCCAATGGGGTGCTTCTTTGAGAAAGCAGACCACCTTTACACACTGGAGTCGGAGCAGAGGTTCATCGGCCTCCGGATCATCGTCGTGCCTTCGCGACCAGACCAGACACTTTCGCTGCTCCGAAATCTGCATTGAATCAGTGCGGCTTAAGAGCTCGGAGGGCTGCAGTCCGAAATGGAGGAGCAGGAATCCTGGCGTGGAGGAGGCTCTCCTCAAGCCCGTGAGCCCAGATCAAGATGCAGAGAGCCTTTTCGTCGCTTGTAGACACCGTCATCATGGAAGTATTTCCGAGAAGTTTCGGCAGGGAGTCGAGGCTCTCAGACACTTCTTTGCAGCCCAGTTCCTGACAGGAAGCAGAGAAATACCTGCTGTTCAGGGCACAGCGGGGCTCACCACGAGCAAAGCTTGCTGGCGCTTGCCTAATGCACTTCAGCGCGTGAGGTAGGGACTAGGCTTTGGAGCTTGTCTCGACCTACTCACGGCAGCTCCTCCTCTGTCAGGGCTCCACCCTGAGATGGCACATCCTTCGGCTCCTGAACAAGCGGGAAATGACATAGTAGCCAGGCTCACAGGGCCCTGCGCCCTGCGCCTCTTCGCACGTGTCGGAGCAGTTGCTTATCTGCCGGGTGAAGCGTGCCCAAACCACCGAATCCTCGAGAGCAGGCGGCCTAGAGACCTAAATGGGCATCCTGAGTCCCCGAGTCAAAGCCAAGGCTCGGAGTTGTAGGTTGCGGGTAAACCTCAGGCCGACATGCTCTGCTGGCCCACTTGCACTCCACAGGATGGTGCATCGGGTGCCTTGAGGGGTAACGTCCTCCTCAACTTCTAGGAAAGTCTTTTTCACCACGATCTTCTCGCTGCCTGCCAGATCTCCGACTTCCAAAAGGAGCCGAAAGAGCTCGCAAACGCGCGCGTGCGCCTTCTCCTGCCGAGGGCAGCGGCAACTTCAAGATGCTGGCCATGGCCGCTCGAAGGATCGGCTTTGTGGGGCACTGCGACAGTGACAGGACACGGGCCCCAAAGATATCGGATGAAGCTGGCAGCTACTGCAATGTGCTTCAAGAAATGCATGGAGCTCGAGAGACAAGGTCTAGGCAGCAGCGGTACCAACACCAGCTCTCCGAAATGAGGAGGCTGCAAGCCTAGCAGCTCTGCATCGAGCAGACAAGAAAATGATTTTGCTCTGTCAGGCTCACCGCGAGGATGGGATGCACCCAGCCAGTGCACCCAGACAGGATTGGGACCGTCTGTTGCCGATTGTTGAGTTTCCTAACGAACATTTTCCAGTCTTAGCTTGTCCACGAGCTTGTGGCATTACCTGGCTCTCTCAATCCTGCGCTTGGGAGCCACATGATTGTGAAGCATTGTGTTCCGCCGCCACGTGACACAGAGACATCGGCTCCTGCAACACCTCACACTGTGTGCTGTTTAGACATAGTTAGTGGGCGCGTGTCACATGGCCAGGGCAGTCGTTCAAATGACCGTCCAATCGGAAACTGAAGGAGAGATCCGACTCGCGGCTACCTGACTCCTCCCCCAGGAGCTTTACTAAAGCAGTCAAGCCGTTTCTATGTTACGGTTATGTGCCGACACTCATGATGCTGATTCTCAAGCCGTCTTCGAAGGTAAGGCAACGTTACGCTCCACTACAGCAGCTCAGGGGTCGGCGCCACTAGGCATGCTAAGCAGGCTATGGGGTGCCGCCATCAACTCCCAAACAGGATTGCAGAAGCGAGCATCTCCTTCCTCGTAAGTCGATCTACTGCCAACAGGTCGAGCACGTTACCTAAGGCTACTAGATACTCTTCGACTGAAGTCCGGCATGATTGAACTGCTAGGATTCTAGGTGGCTAGGCTGACTTTTTGCAGTTGCTTAAATGATTTTCCTCAAACCGGGTGGACTTCAGATCATTCTTCGTTCCCAAGCTACCCCACTGCTCCAAATCACCTTTGCCTCTCAAAGAACAGCACGATCGGGCTTTGCATCAGCTTGTGCAACGGTTGGTGCTAAGAAGGCTGGACTTCGCTTCCGGAAGGCTCACGCCCCGTTCCATGAGGAACTGCATCCGGCACAGACCAGACAGACAGCTCGCAGGTTCGCTTCCTAGGAACCTGCACAGAGTTTTCAAAAGGAGCCCGCTATGACGGCTTTGCTCGCTAGAGCATGTGCCTGAATCATCGGGGTCTGTGTAGGAGCCATGGAATCCTGCAACGTGCGCTCTCACAGGCTTGCTGTGGGGCCAGCTCCTCCAGGAAACAAGGCCGTTGCGAGGCAACACAAGCGAAGCGGGGGCGGCAAGGGCAAGGGCAAGCAAGGCCTTGTGGATACCCATCGCCTGGCAGAAGGCGATCCAAGCATATGCAAACAGGGCAAATAGACACGAAGCTCCAAACCTCGGCCCGGCCCCTTGTGTTCTGCGGCACGCCCTCAGAGCTCACTGCGCCGAGAGAAAGAGAGAAAGAGAGGGAGGGAGGAGAAGAGAAAGAGAGAGAGAGGGAAAGAGAGAGAGAGAGAGAGGCAGGAGCAGGGGGATTCGAGTTCGATTCCAAACGTGCAGCCGAGAGACCGCCCAGAAGCGCCTGGGTTGCGGCAGGCCTGGCACGGTTGCACGAGGAGGCGGGGGAGGCCCATCTCGCCCCTGCAGGGCCCTCTAAGAGGTGCGCCCAGGCCTCAAGACGATGTTGGCGGCCACAGCCTGGCAGATGACTTTTGATCTCGAATCGGTGTCGGTCTCTTCTCGTGCTCTCTCTCGACCGCTCCTCCCGCTGCGAGAGTCGCCGCAGGAAGAGCAGCGCCTCCTGTACCGCCGGGAGCGTGGGCCCCTGCCACGGAAAAGGCCAGAGCTTGGGCAGAGCTTGCTGGCGCAGCTTGTGCTCGTGCCGACTCTCGCTCCTGCGGAATGAGGACGTCGACCATGTACTTTCCAGAGGAGAGTTTGTACACCTGGACAGTCAGCCTCGCAAGCAAACGGCAATGCTTGCCAGAACCGCTGTGGACGGCTTTGCCACAGAGTGTCCCAACTTGCTGAGGAGGACACATTAGGTTCTTCTGCCTTTTCAAAGGCCGAGCACGAACCCGCCAAGGCGTGATGTTGCTCCACTGGCACAGGGCAGCTCATGGAATCGACTTCTGGGCTCTAGCGAGTCTGATTGAGCAGATGAGGAGGTTCACCTAAAAGTATAAGCCACCAGCCCTAGTGCCTGGAAGCCCTCCCGGACCGAACATAACGGTCAACCAGGCCTCGTAGCCCAAGTCTCGCAGTGTCACCAAAGCTTCTGTCATCAGAACCGCAGCCTGAAACCAATTGCAGCGCTTGTCATTTGCTGAATCCAATCACACTCCTCGACATAGCAGTCCCCTGCCCTCTGCCTCCATGATGGCTTCCAAGCCCAGCCGCCATGGGCATTCCGGTGCTGCAAAGGTGGACTGCCAGACGAACCGCGGCCAACAGAGCTTCATTGATGAGACATTGATGAGACACTTCGGACAGCTATTCCTCGCCGTACATGCTTAGACCCAACTGTCGCAGATCGATGAACGAGCTCAACAGGACGTGCTGCCTGGGCAAGCATTGCTGCCCGGTCGTTAGCCTCAGATGCAAGGCACAAAGGCCATGCTCGTGTGCAAGCGAGACCAAACACAAATTTGCCGAAAGTATGAAACGGAGTAAGTGATTAGGAGGTTCCTTCTGAGCAGCCATGGCAGCAATCTTGTAGACAGGAGCCAGCTTCTCCTCACATCCAGGTTTGTTCAAGGGAAGCCATCGAGTGTTGCGACACTGCCGCAGCCACTGACAGCTCACCATGCTATTCAGTCCTGATCAAACTGCCTGGCAACGCTTGCAATCTCCTGGCCGCGAGGACTCTGCAGTGCACTCTCCGCGATATCAACGGATCTTGATCTTGAATACCTTCCCACATGACACATGTAATGAAGAAATAATCCGCTCTGCCTCGTCATCGAACATCTTGTGAGCGTTGATATTGCCCTGGTCCTGCAGCAACAAAAAGCGGCTGGGAATCCGCTGTACAAGACCTCCACCCACTGCCATCCCAAACCCTCCATGTCAGCAATCATGAAATTCTGAAGCCGTTCGAGGTTGTTGGGAAGTGGCCCTTATTGAAGTATCTGTACTGGGCTCCGGGACGTGGGCTTGGGCCTTCCGGAGGAGATTCGAGAAGCTGCTCTGCTTCGAGGCTCGATCCGCCAGCAGATGGTAAGCCACCTCACAGCAACACCAGGGAACGAGGAGAGACGAGAGACTTTAGCAGTTCAAGGGCTGTGGCTGCTCGCCGCTCGCCTGCTCATCCGGCTTCAAGTTCTCCTTGTCTGCAATCTTGATCCCCATGTCTTCCAACTCCTGGCTCGGAGAGGGATGGCCCCAGGCAGTCCCAGATCCGCACGGAAGGCACAGGGCCTGCAGGATGTCGGGCTGAACCTCCTGAGAAAGGCTTAGAAGCTGCGTTGAAGCGCCGCGGAAGTGGTACTGATCGCGCAATGCAAAGCCGTCTCATTCCAAGGAATCGTCCAGCTTCTCCACCGCCAAGTTCAGCGGGGCCGCAAGATATTCTGGCAGGTCCTGGAGACAAGAAGCTACTGCCTTTGCTGAAGCCACACGCTCAGGTCTTGAACAGGTCACCATGCTGGCGGCGTTCCTTCTGGAACCAGGAGTGCTTTCGGATCTGCGAGAACGTGATTCGCCTGCAAGCGAGCTGCCAGGCATATTACAAGTCCCACTGGCAGAAGACCAGATCTAAAATCGGTAGAAGAGGAGCCCGAGCCTCGTTGGATCCACAACCAGCATCTGCACAATCAGGTCCTTGGCCTCGCTGCTCAAGTGGCCTGTGCGAAGCAGGAGAGATTCTGACATCCTTTCTCCTTGTGCGTTATGCCGCCCCCAAGCTGCTCCGAAGAATCATTTATGTTTGCTGCAGAATGTTTTCTAGTCACCTCACCCTGGGAGTTCAAAAACTGCCGACGAAGTCTCCTGTGCTCTCATTGCCATCACGAAGGAGTATGTCTGAACACTTGAAGAGCACAGTTGCACCATCAACCCAGCAGCAACGTGAGTGGTAGTGCAGTAGCGCTAGCGACAGCGGTAGCAGCAGCCGTACAGGTAACCGGTGTGACGTAGCGGCAGCAATGCCGTGGCTATATCTTCACTTTCGTGGCGGTCCCGACGGCTTCACTGGTATGCCCTTCCCCTTGTGACAGGTCGTTTGGTCATGAGAATCATGCTGCACTTTCGTGCAATGAGCCTGTTGCACACCATCATGGGACGAGAGCGGTGTGATGTCGACGAAGGTTGCAACGCATGTACGGCAGTGAGATCATATCCAGAGGTCCCCGAACGATCAACCAAAGCGGCTCTCTGCGAGCAAAGGTGAGGATCTCCGTGCGCGATGCGTTTTGACGGTTGCTGTGAATCCGGCATCATGTTGCAAAGGATGCAATGCTCTGTCCGGGGCAATGCCCACGGCGCGCGAGGTCAGAAGCAACGCGGTCCACGGGCAATCGCTCGATGCTCTGTGCAGAGTGAACGCCTCTGCCGGTGGGAGAACAGCAAGAGAAGCAATACTGTAGTTGGTCGCAAGGAGGAGACAGTGTCGTTGCCGTGCTGTGGCAGCATGGAGTGCGTTCGCTAAGAGACTGCAAGGCTTCTTACTCTGCCCACCTGGCAGGGTGAAGTTCCCGTGCTTGATCTTTCGGAAGAGATTGGGAACCTAGGACGTCGGACTTGAAGGCCCGAAGATCAGAAATGCCAATGACTCAACATCTGCCAAGGCCACATTCTCATCGTCGAAAGGTAGAGAGCCGCAAAGCAGCGCATAGAGAACTACCCCTCCGGACCTGGCACCAAAGGTCGGGATCCCTAACGGACTTCGGAGAGAAATCGCCAGTGTGGCCAGACATCAACCTCCGGGCCGACGTATGCCTTCAACGAATGCGCGGCGATCAGAATGTGCTCTAATGCGATACTTGCAATATGGAAGTGGAATGGCTAGCGACTGGCCTGCCTTGCCCGACACAACTTCGGGAGAGGCATAATTTGGTGACCCACAGGAGGTCTTGAGGAACTCCCCATCGCGCCTGAGACAAATCACGGTTCGCGAAAACAGCTCAAGGCTCTTCATGCAGCTCAACATCTTCCAGCCGGGTCTGGGGCATAGTGTTCGACAGGCCGAAATCCGCAATCTTCACATGCCTTCTGCTGCAGACTTCGAGGGGGAATCGAAGAGCGCAGCAGAGCCGAGAGCCGGTCAAGTTCGAGTCCAAGAGCAGGTTCTCGGGCTTCAGGTCTCGGTGGGTCACCTGGCATGTCCCAGGAAGAGCAGCTCAGGGAATCCTCTTTTCGAGGCCGGGACCATGCACTGGTGGCAGTACTCGACACCGGACAGGATCTGCTGGAAAAATCTCCGTGCCTTGAAACAGCGAGCGAAGCTGAGAGGAGTGCATCCCTTTCGTGATGGTTTTTTGTGTACAAGTCTACAATATGCCTGTCTGTCGTACTGCATTTCCTGCTTCCTTGTCCATTACTATCCCACTTCGAGGTGTTCCGGTCTGAGGCTCTCCACCTCGTCCTCCTGGAGTTTGAGCTTGTGCACGATGTGATCAAAAAGCTCACCACCCGGCACGTACTCCATCACCTCAGCGTGACAAGGCCCAAACCAAGCTTTCCTTGCATGACACTGGGCGCCGAAGGACAAGGACAGGACCATGAAGATGTCACTCGGTGTATCCAAAAGCTCGTAAAGTCGAATGACGTGAGGATGCTTCAGAAACCTCGGCCGTCCGGCACAGTTTGCAAATGGACTGAGTCGAATATTATCGATCTCTTTGCCTAAACGGCATGGGTGGACGGCGCTATATCTGCGTGCGACTGTGCGGCAATTGCGCGAAGAAAAAAACGTCAATCAGCAAGCTTGTTGTCAGGCTCTCAGGTTCTTAGGGCAAAGCTCCTTTCTAGAAGACCCCAGGGCTTGAGACATGGGGAGCAAATCCGGCCCTCTCTCTTCCAAGGTTGCGGCTGCAGGATCTGGATCTCTCTTCGGATCTTCTCGTGCATGTTCATCTGCTCCATCTTTCTCTTGTTGATTATCTTGATTGCCACCTGTGCAGGTTGGTATAACTCTAGCAAACGTAGGGCAAAGTTGCGCGGCTCGACTGCTGAGACAGATTGCCAGACTGAAAGCGTGCTCTGCTTGGACCAAGTCATATGCGCCTTCTGACCCGTCAGAGTGTGCTCGGCCATCTTGACCTTTATGCAGCTTTGACATTTAGAGTGAGACTTCTTTCGGCTGGTGTGTTGGGTTTCAGGTTTCGGGTGCCAGGCATGCCAGGTGTGCCGCGGTTAACCCTCTACATTTTTGTGGAGGGACTTCCAGGCAGGGCCCTTTGGGGCTGTGCGACTGCGGCCCCAAGACTGGTTTCGCGCTCGTGTCGGAAACCCCCTGAGCGCAGAAGCCCACCGAATTTCCAAGTCGCTTAGGATGTTCTGAATCTGGGAGGTGAAGGTCCCGAACCTCCGCTTCAAAGGGCTCCTGCCTTGCCAAACGTGCCGACGCCCAGGGTGTTGGAGATCTGCGTCGACATGGAAAGTTGGAACAAAGTGCCCAGCTCTCCAGGCTCTCTCGTCAGGCACCCTCAACTCCAAGGTTTATGCAATCAGTCAGAAAAGTTCGAAACCCCCCCCCCCCCCCAAAGATTCCTCACGCCGTGAGTGCGCCTTGTAGTGAGAGATGGCCACCATCTTGGCGAGCAAGAGCAAGCGCTGATGTGCAAAGCAGTTTGGCTTTGCTGCAGCTTGCTGCTGCGCTGCTGCGGCGATGTATGCTTTGATGGCTTTGAATCTCTTGCGGAGGCGTTGGCTGCTGCGACGGGGCTGCAGGTGGACTGTTGATTAGCATAGTGGCGGAGTCTGTTGTGGTTGATGGCTGGGCTGCGATAAAGCTGTGGCGGAGTGCGAAATTCTGCAATGCAAGTGTGGCTGGGGGCGTCGGAGATCAGTTTTAACGATTATTTCGCCTGAACAGTGCACTGATCAAGCACATGTTTGAGCTGACGGCTGAAGGAGTGCTGGAGGCATCAAGTGCCAAGCGCCACGACAAGCTCTGCGGTTCACGACTGTTACCTGCAATCTCTAGCTTGATCGAAATCAGGAAAGCTGTCTGACACTGCACGGTTTGGAAATGCATCTTAACTGCATGGTGTGGAAAAGCGTTTTGACATGCCACAGGGCGCTTCCTTCTTGGATGCACACGAGGGCAATGCAAGACATTTACCGGAAAGCATGCAGCCTGATGCAGGACCGGCATCATGGCAGGATGTATTGCCGGTGGAACACCGTGGCGAGACAGTACATCAGGAGCTCAGTGCTGATTGATGATGCGAAGGGCGTCCTGTACTAAGCAAGCTGTTCGTGCTGCTCCTTGTCAGTGAGCCTTCTTGGGACATCCGAGAGTTCGGCCAGGGACCTGAAGGCAGGTGGTGTAGTGTCTCAGCGCCTGCAAGATGTCGTCGTCGGCCTGGTAGCCATGAAGCCACATGAAGCCATGAGCTCCGCTGGCGGTGTCTCTCTGACGGGAATCCGGCGGCTTGGCCTGCGATCTCTGGGCAGTCTCGACCTGCAGTTGCGCCTCCACCGCCGCCACCTACAGAGGAGACAAAGAGACATCGAGCCGTGCACACCAGGCCCCGGCCTTTTGGTCAATGTAAGCGGTGATCGTGTCATCCCCTGAAGGGAACAGATCGAGGCCCAGGAGTCGTGGCTTTTTCTTGTGAAGTCGCCTGAGTCCCTCTGCTGCTTGATGTTGTCCAGCTCTGCTCTGAGATTCTGGTACCTTGCACGCTGGCATCTGAGTCTGTAGATTCTCCTCTCTCAAACGTCTTCAGACAGGTCCAGTGCAACAGAACGAAGGGGTCGACGAAGCAGGCAGAAGCAAAGGCAGGGTCTCAAGATCAATCCATTCATGTCCCGGTTACTTCTGCTCGCGCCGCTGCGCCTGACAGGTCTGCGCTGGCGAGGCCAGGGCCCGAAAGCAGCTCTCTCTACCGGCGGGGCCTGAGCTTTGAGAGCAGCGGACGTCTGAGCCTCCGGGTTGGGACCAAAGCTCAGATTCCGCAGTCAAAAGACGCTCCCGGAAGACACAGCATGTGCAAACAGCCCGTCACGAAGCACGCGCGACTAAATTCCCCCAGGCTCAACCATCTGCCCCACCTCGAATTCGGACAGGGTTTTGGAGCATGCAGTGCAAGAGGCTTTGCGGTCCTAAGCAAACGAAGCAGGAGCTGGAACTTCGGTTTGTGCATGTTTTTGGCACACAGAGGCGAGGACGACTTTCTCCTGCTGATGTGCGGCAACACATTCGAAGACATCCTGACAGCCATGGCTTGCACCCCACGTGCGGATCTCTGCGCTACTAAGGAAGGCCATCAAAGACACGCCCAAAGTAAGTCTCCTGTCCTTTGAAAGCAGGGCCTTCCTCTTGTCAATGTCCTTCAAAGGTGTTGGTGTTCTGAGACCTTCGGCCTTCACCCTCTGCTGGCGGCCCTGAACGGCGGCTGGCTGCTAAACTGCTGGTCCCGGATCTGCTTCTCGCGCGTCTCCGCGAAGTCCCGCTCCACGGCGGCCATGCGGTGCCCAAGCAGCTCCAGGCCTGGCCCAGGGGCTTGAGTCGCAGAAAAGGGCTCTGCAACTTCAACATGCCAAGGTCGCTAGAGTCCAACTGATCCAGCTTCGCCGTAAAGACGGTCTCCAATCGGTCCTGTGCAGCAGAGCGATTCAAAGCTGCAGACCGTAGCGAAATTCACACTTGCTGGGCCTGTATGGCATGCACCTGTGCGTCGAACATTGATGCCAGGGCACGGTTTGCCTGTAGAGCAATGTCTGCTGACACATGAACTTGTGGCACTGTGAAGGTCTGTGCACAGCTGTGCGCCTCAGCACGCCTGTGCACCTCTGTTTGCACAGATTCGACGGCTTTCATCATATTTGCCCTGACGCCTGAGTGGCAGTACAGTAGTCAGTACTGGCGGCATGGACTCGCAAGTAGAAGCAATGCCTTGCTGCGGCATCCAACGCCGGCGCTGACACGTCTCGGGACCGCACCATCGAGCTTGGAACCATCCCGGTCTATGCGACTCCTGTGAAACAAGACGGGGAGAAGTGTCCCCGATTGTCAGTGCATGGCAACTGTCCATGCCTGGTATCCTCATCCCATTGCGCTTGGAAGTTGGAAAACTTGTCTTTCAATGCAGAGATCTTTGCCTGGCAGCTGGTATGCACTGCCTACATCTGTCGAAGATGACCATTTCCACTTAGAGAAGCAAATTTCATTACACAATGGACCTGCATCGCAATCGCTCGCCACGCCTTCACTGAACTTACGAGTGCGGTCCGCGTTGACGGCATACATTGGGTCTAGTTATACCCTGCCTCAGCCGAAGCTCCAGTGTTGACAAAATCAGCACCGCAGAGTGGGACGGAGCTGAATCATTGCTGTGAAATGCTCTCAGAGAGACTTGAAAAGACTGGGCTTGACTCATGATGGTAAAGCGCTGTTTGGTCGTCGGCGTACTAGAACCACATCCGGAGTGCCCTTTGGCGCCCTGGCTGGCTTGACATTCTAATGGCCCAAGCAAGAACCAAGAAGGGAGCGTGCATTCAGCGACACTGGCATTGAAAGTAAGTAGACTCCTGCAATGCCCAGCAGATATTTCCGGGAACTCCCGCTGCAATTCGGCAGAGCCGACTCTGGATGCCCGGGTGCTCTTTGAACCTGGTAGGACTGCCACTTCGTATGTGCGCTCCTCACATGCGACTGCCTCCTCACCTCGGCAGCATCTCCTCCGCGAAATGAACCGCTTCCGAGGAAGGCTCGGCAGCCAGTGACCGCAGAGACTGGCACAAAAGCACGGAGAGCCACGTCACAGACTACAAATAGATTGCTGTGAGCAGGTGGCACCTCATCGGTGATGCTGGGAAACTGCTCAAGCTGAGCCCTGACATCTTGTGCCCGTGCGGGGAATGGCTCACGTTCTTAGTCCGAGGACCTGGCCGTAGAAACCACAGGAAGAGGTCGCGAGCTTCCCCACCGGCTAAGAGGCCCTCGACCTCAAACGTTGTTTTCACACCGGAAATCTTTCGTACCTACCGACAAAACGATCATGCATGATGGAATGTGCACGGATTCGGTCTAGATCAGACATTCTGCAGCGAAGTCTCTGTGTCGAATGCTTCCAACTTGGAAAGGTTCTCATCACAACGCCGCGCCTGCGATTTGCTTGCAGCGATCTGCAGGCCCAGTAGGCGCATACCGTAGGTACGCGAAACGAGCAACGCTCGAGGTCTCGGAACAACAAACGCGAACAGAGTCTTGACGAAATCGCACCTCGACTTCGCAGATGAGATTCTCCGCTTTGGTCAGAAGCTCTACATCCTGCATCCCCACGACATAACTGGACCACACATGATGCGAACGCGCAGCTTTGAAGTTTGAAGCGCCTGGACCTGCTTGAGTCGAGCCGAGAGCTCCTCCAGCCAGCCTTGCTCTGACTAAGCGCACCCAACATTGGCCTACTGCCACGAGGCTAACAGCCAAGGGGCCGTTGCGCGCTTTCGTGCTCCTCCACAAAGAAGGGCACAGAGACAAGAACACGAAAACCCCCCCCCCCCCGTCCCCCCGAGGCCCCGAGACCAGGCCTGGCTCGCCTTAGTCGACAGCTCCGGATCTGTCGGATGCGGTCTCTCCCTCATGCCCAGGTCCAGGTTCTCTCAGAGTGGCCACGTCAGTGTACCATCTCGGGTCAAGAGCTGGAACACCCTCTCCTCCTGCAGAGTGGCATCCTACGCCCTTGCCGACCCAACAAAATGGAGTTCTCGGAATTGCCTCGTCCTCGCCCTGCACCACACCCACGGCAGATCGAAGGGGCATGCGGGCCTGTGCTGGCTTCCTACATGGAAAACTCCTTAATCAATATTGGGTCTTATTCAGGGTCCCTTCGTTTAGAAACTCCCACATAACCTTTCCCAGTACCGTACAAACATAACTTGTTGAGCCACAGAAGGGTGGCTACCTACAACTTGCCAGGAATCCGGCCATGCCACCACCAAGTGCAGCACCGTCATCCTTTCACCAAGTACCCAAAAGGAGCAAAAACTCATGTTCCCGCGGTTGAAGGTGCTGGGCCAAATCCCAAAACGTTCTGTTCTCTGAACGCACGGTCCTGGAAGACCTGCGAGTGCCAGAGGCTTTCACCGTCCAGGGCTACCTGCACGCAAAAGGCATGAGATCGTGGCAGAGCCGACGCTTGCCCTCCAAAGTCTGGAGGCGTCACCGACACAAGAATCCCGACTTGCAACCCCGCACCTCTTGCATGTCAAGCAGAAACAATCATATTCCAAGTTCAGAGGAGGATACAATATTCTCTTCGACAGAACCTCCTAAACCTCACGAACGAAAGGGCCCGGGAACTCTGAAGCGCGTGTCGTCCGAGAGCCATCCCCGAACCTTGGAACTTTACCACGACTCCTCGGGAGCCCATAAACGCTTCTCGTGGCGCACCGTGCAGCGCTGCCAGGCCCCGTCGCAGTCGAGCTCCAAAGATCCAGTTCGCAGCCGCCCGTCCTCGAAGATAAGGGCTCAGCCGCTACGCCCGTCTCTTCCGCCTTTTCAAGTGCGCTAAGAACCTAATAACTCGAACCCTGCTCAGACTCAAAATTTCAGTCAACAATGTACTTTAGCTACTTCCCCGGCCCGTCCTTGTTGGCAAGCGGCAGCGTGAGCTCATCTGAGCGCGGCATAGAATGGACGTCACGCTCACTCCACGTGAGACACAGCCAGCTCTGTGACGTGGAAACTATTCCTGTGCCTCTTATAAAGAACAGCGGAGCAGTCGCTCCAAAACGCAAGCAAATACTGACCAGGCCTTCAACATTCAGGGTGTCATGTCCTGCGGCAGCAGAGGAAAAGGATGAGACTCGCAGGGTGTGACGGGCGGTTCAGACACTGTGACCGGACGATTTTGCATCTGAGCTGATTGTGGGAACACTACACGAGGCTGACCATCACTGGAAATGGTGCCGTTGCCATCACCGTCCTGTTTGCCGAATTTCGCGGAACAGGAACTTAAAGGCACTTTGGCCGCCCTTCTCCTGCCAGTCGAGTGGCGGCTCTGTCGAATCAACAAAAGACGTGTGATGTCTCAAATCCTGCAGATACCATGGCACCCGTAGGTTCTGCCATCGCTGACGTTCCATATTGATATCCGCAGCTACTTCTCTGTGACCCTCGGTCTGCGCTTTGGTCTCTCAGCTTCCCCCGTTCCCAAGACTGTCCACTCTGCTTGTAGGGACTGGCAAAGGTTGAAGTCCATCACAGTTCATCCAGCACCAGTACATGACAACATGCAACACCGCTGGCTGCGACGTGTGGGCCTGGATCTGAAGGGGCCGCTCCTCCGGCGGCGAACAACTGAAACATCATGCACTCCATGAAGACATCATGCACTCCAGGATGATTGAAAACCAGGAGGATAATATTAGGCTACTGCTTTGTCATCAGAATGTGGAGTGTGCTGTTGAACAGTTCTCTCATGTCTGGATGCATCCACACAAGACATGCATTCAGGTCCAGTCCGCTACGACAACTAAAGCTTTTGGACTTTAAACCCAGCAAGGCCCCGGAAGCAACAGAAGAAGGAAACGCACCAGGCTGGAAAGCCGAAACCCCCAAGAACCCGAAGAGTAATGTAGGAACCTGATTAAGAAACCCTGGGCCTAATATCAGAAACCCTAATAAAGGCCCAGGGTTTCTTAGACTCTCGATGACCTCCCTCGGGCTCCTCACGCTGCAGAAGCCGCTCTCTGAGCTTCGTGCGCCCCGGGCCCGGGGCTTTCAGGAGGAGCTCATGCCTTGAGCCGTGCAGTAGTAGTCGAAGTAGTAGCAGTAGGAGTAGTAGTAGCAGTAGGTGTAGTCGTAGTAGTAGTTGTAGTAGTTGTAGTAGTAGTAGTAGTAGTAGTAGTAGTAGTAGTAGTAGCAGTAGGTGTAGTCGTAGTAGTAGTTGTAGTAGTTGTAGTAGTAGTAGTAGTAGTAGTAGTAGTAGTAGTAGTAGTAGGAGTAGCAGCTTCAACTTTCAAGGTCAGGGAGTTTGGGACTTAGGCTGCGTGACGGCGAGCAGAATGTACGGTTCGGACCGATGTTACAGCTTCTCTGCACTTTTGCATGATCAATGACTTATTATGACCTTTTCTGGCTGAGCACTGCTGTTCCGAGTGCCCTGACACTTGCGATTATCAAAGCTGCCTGGAGTTCTGTAAATACTTCGCTGATGCTCACCACGGTTGCGGTGTCATGATTATCAAGGCTGCTTCAAAACAAGATTGCAAGGCAAAGGCACCTTTCGGGATCTGCTTCTCTGCCATTGGAGGCCCGCCGCTTGCACAGCGACTCGATCACATCCTCTGCGTTTGTGCGATCTGTTGGTTGCACCATGAAGGAAGCTCATGTTTCAGTCGGGAGTCGACACGGTAAGGATGGTCGGATGCAGACTGCTATCGGCCGTGTGACTAGCGTATCACGAAACCGCTTGCGCAAAAATGCTCTTGGCCAGCCAGTCCTGAACAGTGGATTCTGGCTTCAGCGGCAACGTCCTGAACCTGAGAAGAAAAGAAGCCGAGAAACTCTATGCACCAGGGAGGAGACACCAAAAGGATGTGAATGTAGTTGTGGTTAACACTAGACGCGTTCATGTTGATGTGGGAATTTCGTATTTTCTCAGCTGTGTCGCGTGTTGTCTTCGAAGTACACCCGCAGCGTACCAGCCAGCCGCTGCTCTGATGCCATAAAGTCCAGAAGGCAGAGTCAGTCTTTCTTATGGACAACTATTCCTGGATTCCTTGCAACACGGAGCAGCTATGTTCGTCTTTGTGGCTAGCCGGCTAGCTACACTCACGCCGACGACTCGTGCATTCGAGCATGCGACTGTTCAAACCAGGCTCTAGCTAGCCGCCTGAGATGGAGCAGCTGCAGACAAGTTCAGAAAGCGACTCCGGCATGTTCCTGGAAAGACTCTGCAGCACTCAAGCTCGGTGCAGTCTGAGGTGAAGGTTTTGCTACAGCCGCCGTTTCAGCTGTCTTGATGCAGATCATTTGCTTCTTGCCCGCAGCCTCAGGGCAATCATGGGCAATCTCCACTGAACAAGCCAAGAACAGCCCATGCATTTTCTTCGCAAGCTCGGGCCTGACTAGACAAGCCTGGTGGCGGCACCCAAAGCAAGAGTTGAATGCATGCCGAGGGGCGATAGCACTTGGCACAGAAACTCCAGCTGCATCACAAGAAGTCGGAGGGACATTTGTTCCAACAAACGTGAAGGCACTAGTCCTTTATTGTTGCTAATCGGATAATTGCCATGACCCCTCCAACCCTTGTGATCACAGAGCTGTGCCACGCTCGAGGTTCTGTCTTGTCTCCTGGCACAGCTTTCAAGCACGGCATGTTGAAAATCCCTGATTCTGCAATGCCAGGATATTTCCATAGCATGCTCTTGCTGATCCTCTGTGTAGTCGCCAAAGAAGCGATCCAGCTTCTTGTTGAAGAAGCCTCAGCTACACAACACGATGCTAGCACCGTCATGAGAGTAACGCACTGCAAGTGCAGGGTAGAGCAGCAACGCCCAGAGCGTACGGGCTGTATCTGCATCTACTTACAGCGACACCTGGCAGTCAAGGCACGATTTCTTTCGTTGACGTATGTCCGATCTTCTTCGTCGTTGTAGGCACGCCTTTGGGAGGTCTGCTGTCAGCAGTCAACTCTGTGCGGAAGCGTCCAGTAGGAAAGCTACACGTGCTCATGTGTCCAAGAAACCCTCTCGTCAGGTCTTCGTTCTTTGGACTCGCTCCACTTCGGGAGGAACCCTACTCGTTAAACTTTAAGATACTACGGCAAACACCAAACTCTCCATGATTGAGGCTCTGTTTATGAAGGGTTGTATGCCGTGCTTCGACACGCAGGTAGCTGCCACTGTTCTTCGCAGCTTTCTTGAAGCGCACAAGGATGTAAACATATGTAAATCGGTCATGGGTGTTTGCGAGACCTCGCCCGAGGGTGAACTGCAGTGGTAGTCTGCATGCCGTTGTGGCCTTCTGGAGAACTCCTTCTTCTTCTCCTCAGCAACAGCGGTTAGGTCAAGCCATAGATGGCTCCCGGGACTTAGATCAAACGAGGATCTCAACTAAAATGTGGAAGGAAGGGGAGCAGCGGATTATTTGCCAGAAACTAAGGTACAGCAAACATATTCCGAGACTCCAAAATCTTGCCCATGGCATCGCCCAATCGTCTCTTTGCCTTTCGCAAAGGCATCTGGGATGAGCCGACTAAGCTGGCCGGTGGTTGGTTCCCGTGCCGCAGACTCGCACATGCTTTGGAACACAGGGTACGACACGGCTTGAGAAAAGGACGCGAGGGCTGAACATTGCTACCCTCAGGCCAGATGGCACCTCCTCTGTGGGCTTGAAGCCGAAGCCTGCGAACTTCAGGCCTCGCCGCCGAGAGTGCAAAGAGTGCTGCAAGCAGCCTACAGTATGTTTCCGAATGCCTTCTTCGCCTTCTTCTTCTATCGCCTTCTTCTGCTTCTCGTAAGCCTTCCGGAAGAAGCCATGGAAGACTACGCCAACGACCGACGGCTGCAACACACCGTTCGCACCATGACTCCTTGTCATGTCACTCTTGTCACTCTGATCAGTTACTTTGCCAGCCTCCGGGTAGAACTGGACCTGCTTCAACCTCTTCTCGTGGGCCCGCAGAAGAGAGTCCTGCACAGCCATGCGATTGACAGCCATGCGATTGCAGGCATCGGTACAAAGAAACTCGATCCTGATCAGGGCTTGGATATGAAGCTTCACAAAATCAAAATCCTGGCTCATGGAGGTCCTGGTTGAAGACATCCCAACCGAAAGCGTCTGGGTTGCCTGAGGCCGGGGAGACCGGTGCTGAAGCCCTTGCCTGAGACTTGGGCTCGCGAGCCTTTCTTCTTCTTTGATTCTCGAGCTTCCGCCGTCCTTGGACACGAAAAACCGACGTCCCTGCGTAGCCACGAGGCCGAGGGCTGGGCTCCATCGTGTCGTTGAGGTAATCTTTGCCCTCTGGCATGCCATTCCTGTACCAGCGCAGCAAAATACATGAGGACTTCATCAAGGATGCCCAGTTCCATGGGCGCCCGGATAAAACTTGACATGCTAGGACTGAAGGGTATCGTTCACCTGCTTTTGCTTCCTTTCTTCTCTTCCTGCAGCTCGCGATCGGTAATTTGGTGTCCACTGTGCCGGCTCGTACTGATCTTCCTGATCAGCTAGCTGGGGAGCACCCACCCCCCTGCAAATGCCGGCCTCTTCCTTGTCCTTCTTCTCTTCCTCTGCAGCTCTCCTTTTGGGACACACGGACACCGGCGAGCTTGCAGGGGGCACTCATCCCAGGTCGCGGCTTGGCTGCAACTTTCTTTGAGTAGCCAGGATCAGACTCCCTCTTCTGCTCTTCGACGACCTGGATCGGCATTCCCCGTAAAAAAGCCCAGACAGCAACGCCGAAAAGAACACGGCACCAGAAAGGCTGAAGATCACGGGCTCAACAACTGGACTTTGCAGAATCCACCTCCTTGTTGTTCGCAGAACGGCCTCAGAATCAAAGGCACACAGACCTACAGCGGCTAGACTTCATGACCTGCTACCATCGGCGGCATGCACAAAGAATATCTGACTCTGATCGTTGACTGAGGCATGAGCTTTGGTTCATCTTCAGCCTGATACCATCACCCAAGGTCGTCCGAAAGTGCGGAAGCAGCGCAGTCAACACTTGTCTATCAACCACCCATCTCGTAGTGCACCACACACATCATCCTAAGACATAACTCTCTGGTTCTTAGTAGAGAATGGGGGAATGCAGTATGGAGACAAATATTGGGGATTATATAGGGACTACTACAGGGATCCATTCGGCCCGATTCCCTACGAAGAACCAGACAGAGAAGCCGCTGATACCGGCCTCAGCTGGTAGAGCCGCTTCTCGCGCTCTGTTTTCGGCAGAGGGATGCCAGCACCTTCAAGCGCTTCATTCTACACGGTAGCATACGATTCTATATGAAAGGTAACATACGCGAGCGAGGAACTACATGGATATCGTGCATAAGCAACAACTAAACTCAACAGCCAGATGCCTTCATTTACTCTTACGTGTTTTGCTGTTTGCTTGTACGCACGGATCCCGCTACACAGAGCTGTGTGCAATGCTATCTGCCATCAGACACACATCTTTGCACACACCCGCATACTGAGAATCTGGTGCATAGACATATCTCTATGTATAGATAGAAACATAGATAGATAGACAAATAGGCAGATGGACAGATAGACAAATAGATAGATTGGTAGATATACGTAACATCTGTGTATGTATATATATATATATATATATACATATATATATATATATATATGTAAGTAGACATGTGCCTGCACATATATATATATATGTATAGATATATATGTATATATGTATATGTGTGTGTGTGCATGTATGCACATTCACATATATACATATATGTATATGTGTGTGCGTATGTACACATCTGTGTAAATACTCCCTGTAGCTATGTCTGAATGTACTCTGGCATGCTTTTGTGCCGTAGTTGCTGTTCTATCTGTCTGGCTGTCTATCATGATTTCGGCTTAACGCTTCACAACTTCCTGCAGATCTGCATGTCATCCCTTCCTGGGCCAGCGGCCCTCAGTATCGGGCTCCTCCTCCTGCACGAAGGATTCGGGTTGGATGTTGGGGGTCCAGGACAAGGGACACTCAGGGTCTGGGCAGTAGGGCTCATTGACAACAGTTCTTAGGCTCCGGGCATTTCTCGAGGCCTACTACTAGTTTGCAATACATGAGGCTTTGAACAGTCTCAAAGCATCAATCCGCTGGCTCAAGAATAACAGTCTTATGCAGTAAAACATGACGTCATGACATGAATGCACAAATAAGTTATTGAAATGTAGAGCTGCTACAATACCCACCATGCGAACAACTCGCTGCAGAAAAGTGCCAGCTGTCCCTAAATGGTGTGAAACTGTTTACACGGTTACGGAAATTTGACAGTGCAACTCCTTCTTTTGAAACCCGACTGATATTGTGAAAAGCAAGGTACAATCACGGAATGACGTAGATTGCCTTTGCAATACGATGGTATCCAGCATCATAAATGAGCTATTGCCGCAAATCCTTGCAACGCGCAAAAAGATGCTTAACAGTTCAAAGACTCTGGCATGCGAACTGCAACTGTGGAAGTTTCGGAATTGTTTGAGCATCGCAGTCGTTCGTGAGTTTGAGGGCAGCTGTAAACTTGCGTTGTCCCTTTCTGTTATGAACAAGTCAAATCAAAGCTAAAGCTTGGCCGTTGCAATTTTTCATCATATTAATGATTCCATGATAAAAAACTCTTATTAATCCACATCGTAGCCCGATCACATGTTTCTGTATAGCCTCCACGACAATGGTTGCACACCTTCATACCTTAATTACATGTTTAGACTGCGAAATACCGAACCTGTTGCAGCGTCCATGTAAATCCCACAGCAGTTCAAGCAAAGCTTTATCCTTACAATTACAATACCTTTCAAAATCGTAAGTTAAGTATAGTTCACTATCTTCTCAGTAATTACATTCCTACTCGCTGCATGTGTTGCCAAAGATACTTACCAATCACGATTAGCTCATCGGGACGCATACATATGTCGCATAGCACAGTGACCAGCGCGACTTCTTTGTAGCCTCCGCCATCTTTGTTAAACTGCCACCTGCA